ATGTTGAGTTTGATTTTGATTGTTTGGAACCGTTGTCTTCAGAATCAAATGGATCGACAAATTGATTGTTGTCTTCGACGCCGAGAACTCGAAACTAATGGAGGAAATCGTCGGATCGATTGGTCACCAAAATCGGATCCATTTAGTGATAGGAAGTGCGACAAGACATCGATCTATTGCTAACGGAATCCAAGCGATTGTTGCCAAAGAATGGCCGCTTCCGGACGTTGTGGTCGTTCACGACGGCGCCCGACCTCTGCTCGAAGAGTCACTTCTCAACCAATTGGTCTCATTTGCCCTCAAATACGGAGTAAATGCCAAAACTTATAGCTTTTTAATGTTTTATTGTTTTACATTTGATCCACAATTAAATGATTTAAATGCCATTCAAGACATGCATTGATAACATAAATGTTTATTAGTGACAATGTTTGCTGAGAACTAACTAAATGTGATTAACAATTGTCTCATATGTTGCCTAACGTCCCCCAAACCAGGCTTCGGGTGTGATTTGCAAACTTACGTCTACTGTCTTATCGGTATCTAATGAGCACTTCTTGGATAACGCTTTGGACAGAACTAAACACTTCGCGAGCGAAACGCCTCAAGCGTTTAGATATGAATCTATTAAAGAGGCCTATAATAAGGTTGATGTCACTCACGAGTGGACACAATGTCTGATTCAATTGTTTTATGCAGTGCTCTGAAGATGACTACACTTTCAACACTGAATGTCTGGATTTAGTCCAAAGATATGCCTCAACTCAAGTCAAACTCATCGAAGCCAACGCTTCCCAGTATTTTAAAGTGAGTTCAAAATAGTTTAAGTAGTTTTTGCTTTATTATTGAATATTTTGCCAATAATTTTAGGTCACGTTTAAGAAAGATATTTATAGTGCAGAAGGAGTTCTCAGAGGTTTGCTTCTTATGAATACAATGATAAATGATGTGATTATTTGAATCTAACATTAGATAAAAAGGATATTTTACTTCATTGCGACTTTCAATGCGAATCTCAAGTAAATTATCGATTCATTAATGATTTAAGAGAGAATTTGGAGAAGACTTTTACAAATGTATTTATATTGATTTGAAAATGCATTTATAAATAACTTAATGCAATCTATAGGTGGCATTCTTTAGCAATTCCTCTGCTGTTAAGTTGGCGTACAATCCATTGATTATAAGGATATTATTAAAATTCTGTAATTCATGGAAAGAAATAACAGAGAAAAATATCTCTAAATGTGATTCTTTAATATACGTTATCATAACTTGTGATCAAATAAGCAATTCTTATAATGAGATGACTGTTTGGGCGAAGTCTAAGACCGCAGACATTAAACAATTCTTTGTCATTCACTCTGAGCTTAAAGTTAGTGCTTATGATATGAAATGTTAACAATATTCACATTTATTCAAATTTTAACTTTTTTTTATAGGAACTGAACCAAAATAAAGAGCGAATCATTCAAACAATTGTATTCCTATCGAAACAAACTCCCATTCAATTGAATGGACAGATATTTTTCATTTAAATCGATAGTCACTTAACACTTAATTTTAAAGACTTTATACCAAAGGATTGTTATATTTTACGAATTATTCATATAATATATGGTATTATCATATTATTTGTTATCGTTTTTGAGTATTAAGTCTTAACTTTTTAACTATTAATAGTTTTTATACACTTTTTGTAATCACTGATGAAATATAGTTGTGATAAATGAAAAATACACGTTTCGTACAGCGGGTACAGACTGTGCCCTCCCGTGCTTTACTGCTCCCGCGATTAGTGTAACCATAAATTGACAACACATGCAATGCTTATCATTTTCTACTGCGGGGCTCACACTCTGTGCACAATATCATAGACCCCCTGTCCATCCCTCCCCTTCCACCCCAAACCCCCCTTATATGTTACGTAACGTGTATTTATTGTTAATGTTTGACGTCTTTTATGAATGTTTTTTATTTACAATAATTTTTTGGTTTAAATGTTGTTTAAAAAGTGAAACCAATTTTGTATTGAATTATGAAATAAATTGCTTGTAATTGAAGACCAGTTGTTGTCATCTGATTGTCTTGAGATGTCTTGCAATGAGATCTATTTGTCATATCTGTTGGTGAGCCAACACTTCGGCTCAATCGTGGCTTCAGTGGCCAAAGTGTTGCTTCACAGCGGATCCACTCCTTTGCCATTGATTGCCAAAGAGTGCAAAGAGTCGGCACTAAACGTGAAGAAGTCGTTAATGACATTAATTCAACACAATTTTGTCACTTCGGAGACCAATAGTAAGGGCTTTGTTGAGTACACCATAGATGTGGAGGAAGTGTTGTCACTCTTGCGATATCCCAAATATATTTACGTCTCGAAAGTGCTTTTGGGAGACGAAGCGGAATACATGTGCGAAGAACTGCTCAGACATGGAGTGATGACAATGAGTCAAACCATTCAACTCGTGGTCAACCGATTGGCGCTGGCGTTGGAGACCAACGACTGTCACAATCTGGTCCGCAATGTTCACCGAGTGTTCACTCAATTAGTGTCAATGCATTTCATCCAAAGAGCCCACACTTTAGACGACAATCAAACCAATTATACACTCATTAAGACGAGTGAAGCCCTACAAGAAGAGGCGGATCTCATGTATTCATTGCCTGAAATTAATTTGAATTTAATTGCTGTCAAAAGTGGTGTCGAGTCCACTGATACTGTGGTCGTGAAGAGCGAAGAACCGCTCGTAAAGAGACGTAAAACGAGTAAAGACTCAAAAGATGGCAAACAATTAGATTTGAATATCTACTGGAAAATCAATTTAAAACGTTTTAATCACTATTTAAGGGATCAGTTAATAGTGGACGCGATTAACACTCATTACGACGACCCGATCGCCGGTCAGATCGTCCGCATTATTCTGCGTCTCTCCGAAGTGTCCACTCATTCAATGCAATCGCAAACGTATCCGCTCTCCAAACACGACATCATTCGGGAAGCGCTCAAAGAGAAGGTGTGTTCCGAGGCTTTACAAGTGGAACAGTATTTGCTTTGCTTTCAGGAAGACATGAACTTTCGGTTTGTGGTGAAGAGCGAAGACCGAAACGACGGCATGTATTCGGTGGACATAATGAGGACATTAGACAAATTGGTTGAGAACTGCTTGTCATCGATCGTTCAAAACCGTTATTGTAGTAAAAGTTCGCGTATTTTCCGCCTCTTAATCGATAAGAAGTATTTACAACAGAAACAGATGGAAGACATGGCAATGATTCCGTCTAAAGAGTGCAAACAACTCACGTATAATCTCTATACCAATGGTTTGCTTAAAGTACTCCAATGTCCCAAAACGTCAGACTACGCGCCCTCCAGAACCTACTTCTTGTTCTCTGTCGACATGAATGATGTCTCCCAACAGACACTTCAGCGCTGCTATCAATCGGTGTCTAACGCTATCAATCGGCGTCTCTTCGAAGTGCAACAAAACAAATCACTTCTCGAACGCAAGAACTTCATCGACGCTATTATATCGAGTTTAGAGCGCCAACAGTCGGTCCAAGACGTCGAACAGCAGATCCAAGACCTGAAGAATTCGTTCTCCACTCACGACAACGAACTGATGGACAAAGTGAACAAAAATGTGAAAAAGTTAGAGCAAAGCGAACTCAAAACCGATGAAACGATATTCTTGTTGAAGACATGGCTTGTAATGAAACAAATTAATCATAAAAGTGCTCAAAAAGTTACCACAAAAAAGACAAAAGTCATATAAGATGTTTATTTTTATGCAATTTTGAGTTAATATTTAAGTTGTCTTTTATAGTCTTCTAATTCCTAAACAAATGTATAAATAATTTTCACATTAAGTTTTACGACAAAAATATATTTGAATAAAAATTTGAAGCGAATATATCTTACGCTATCTTTTTGGGCCCGAATTAAGTCGATATCCCTTTCCTTGAAGTTGATATCCTTCGCCGGATCGTCAGGAATGACCACTTCTGTGACCATTTGAGGGAATATTGAAATATAGGTTCGTTTGACGGCGTCTATTGAATCGACGCCAATCTTTTTGTACGAATCGCTTCCAAAGGGTATAACAATTGGTTTTCTGTAATCGCTTTGAAATCCCAACGAATCGATCGGCAAATCAAAGGCCAATGCGTTGAGAACTGTCCGGCATTTTGTCATTAAAGCCTCCGATTTGGTCGAAACAAACATCAATTGTGCGCCCATTGAGTGAGCCGTTAGTCGTAAATATCTTACGATTAGTTTTTGTTTTTCTGGATCTAAATTCTAGTGGAGTTTCAAATATATAGTATTTCTAAACAATATTTGCATCAAAACATCGGCAAAGCATCGCATATATTGCACTACAAGTACAGTAGACATACGATTTTGACACTTTTTTTTAGTTCTGTTAAAATCGAGTACTTTAACAATATTATGATCGCTTGCCTGTCCTAACAAAATATTATGTTAAAACCGAATTCTGTCAAGATCGATTGTACACTGTATAACAACTGGTGTAACTATACTCTGATATAACAGTTGCAATGGTTTGGGTCAGAAAATTGTGCAAATTTGAGGCATAATGTTTGATTCTATGGAAAAACAATCTAATGGATCAAAATTTGAAACAAATTAGACTAATTAAAAGATTCAATTAAGTTAGCCATGTTAATATGTGACTGCAACCATATGCGATGCTTTACGGTATAAATGATTACTTGAAAAATATCATATTTGGTTCCCATAATCACTATTGGAATGAGAAAAGGGTTGATTTGTTGAATGTCTTCGTTATTCTTTCCCATTCTATTCATTGATCTCTCTTTTAGTTTATTCTCTAAATTCCTATTATTGGACACAATTCTTGATATTTGTTCGCTAATAGAGTTAAGTAGTGTTTCAATAGTTATTGTTAACTCTTCGGGAACCGATAGGTCGACGACTATAACCAATGAAGTTCTCCTATTTGTTAATTAATTTTTTTAAAATAAGCAAATAAATAGACATATATTAAATCTCACTCAAGACTTTGTTCATTAATCGCAAATTCAATCAAATTAGTGAACATCACTCCTCCGCCCAATTCCCAGACATTACAAACTTGTTTACTCTTTTGAAAAGTATTACAAAATTGGTTGAATTATTTTATCTAATAATCATAAGTTGTATACCGAGTTGTTATCCCTATGTCTGCGTCCATAGATGTACTCCAAAGCAATGGTTGGTTTTGGCGGATCACTCTTCTCAATAAATCGATAAACTAAACACGTTTTGCCCTAAATTTGG